ACGGCCAACTGAATGCACTGCTTCTCTGCCGCTCACTGCACAGAATAAACGCAGAGAGAGGTGATACTGCACTGGGAGAGTCAGACCTTGCACTCGCAGGGCAGTACTGGTGACATCTTCCAACTGAATGACAGTTAAGGTTTATCCAAAAAAGTCACTAGGTTTGTCAGTATGTACCTTTTATGGAAAAAATCTGCTAAAGGGGTCTGAAAGTTACTAAATATAGTGCTAAAGTCACGCTTGTGTGTGTGTGAGACGTGGGAGGGCAGGGGGCGGAGTAGGGGGGAGGAGTAGCTTCACCTTCGTTCAAGATTGACATCAGGTCTAAACACAGTTATTGTCATCTTATGAATTTGATTACGAATTTCTTGCCGTTTTGATTGATTTGTGTTTTTTTCCACTAGGTTGGCAGAGGGAGAGCAGATCCTGACCGGAGGGGTCCTGAACAAACAGAAGAGCCAAGACGACATCATTACTGAGTTTGGAGACTCGGCCTGCTTCACTCTGGCTCTGCTGGGGCAAATCTACTGGTACGTTGAGCTTTGGTTACTTGCCTTCACCTACTGAAATCAATGAACCTTAGTGAAGATACGAAAATATCTGCTTTGCAATTGTTCCTGGGAAAGAGCTGCTAGTGAGAGGCTGTGTTTAATTTGTTGGATGAAGCAGTCTGGTACCAAAGCTCTTTATCTGTAATGGGTTTAGAGGCAGACAGGGCTCTTTTGACTGTTTTGTTTTTCACTTGTGTAGAGCAGCACTCAGTTACTGTTGAGAGATTGCTTTAAGAGTTCTGAATATTCTCATATGAGAGATTCCTCTCTCTTTCTGTACTTAATATGTTTTGTTAAATAGCCTCACAGCCTTTGCACTTTTTGTTCATGTGCTAATAACCAAGAGAACAATCACTTTTGGGGATGTGAGTTTACTACACAACTAGGATTAAATGTGTAATGTTTTTATTTTGACTGCAGTATACCTCCATAGACATCAGTAAGTTTGTTTTATTGTTCTCACTGTTCCTTTGGGTTTCTTCATGACTCTCTCAAAACACAGAGAATCTGTGTTTCTTGACAACTGTAAATGTGACATTTTCCTTCAGCCAATGATCCATTGTTATTTACATTAAATCCAGTAAAATCGGCTGTTTTCCTTGTCTAAGATTGTTGTTGGATTTTGAAGTTGTGGAAAACCAAAAATGGCATTTTATGAAACATTTTCAGTGGCTAAAATTTTGATGATCATGCTCCTTTCGTTATCCCTGCAGCAAAACAGATCGGATAGCAAAAGGAGCTGAATGTTACCAAAAAAGCATGAGCGAGAACCCTTTCTTATGGTCTCCATTTGAGTCTCTTTGTCAAATCGGTGAGTTCCTTTCTCGTTATTAATTAGGGTCATCATAAGAACCTCATCCAAGCTGCGCAGTTACAAGACTCCCTGAGGAGAAGGATGCCTGATAATGCCATTTTAAACTCTGCTCTCTGTGCTACAGGAGAGCGACCGGATCCAGAGCAGATCTTTAGATTGACCTCCTTGCAGAATTTCAGTGGAGGAGTCGTACCCCCTCCTCCCATCAGCCCTGCACACACACCTAGTAACAACATGGGACACCGGCAAGTCGACACCGTCCTAATGGAGACCCCACAGGACACTTTGGTATGTCTTTCCTGTGGTTTTTCATGCATTTTGTTGTGTTTTATAGGGAGATATGTATGTGCATGAAGTATATGAGGTATTGTTTGGGGACATATTAAACGTTGTGAATTTGGATTGTCTTCTTCATCATATCTTGGCATTGTCTTTCTTCTCTCTCTAAAGGAGCTAAACCGGCTCAATCTAGAATCTTCTAACTCAAAGTACTCCCTGAATACGGACTCCTCTGTGTCCTACATCGACTCCTCCGTCATCTCGCCAGACTCTGTGCCACTGGGCACCGGTGGCTCACTATTATCCAAACAAGTGCAAAACAAACCCAAGAGTGGCCGATGTCTGCTGGGGGGCACGGCCACACTTAGCCCCCTCACACCGAGGTAATGACCATAGATCACGAAGGCCGTCGCACCTCACACTTAACCGTGCATGAGGCTTTCTTAATGTAATCCCAAGTACTTTTTTATTGATTCAAATTATGGATGTGATGATTAGGCTCTTATGTTTTCATTCTAGTAATCTATCCGTTTAAAATTGTGTAGTTTTGGAATTTTGCCTCTGGAGCCGAGCCCGGGAGACCCAACATACCTGCAAAATTACAGTCACAATGGAAGTGGGATGGAACCTCCTCCTCCGCCTGGCCCTCCGAAGAAGGTAAGCCGCCTTTATTTCTAGCAGCTTGCAATTAAAGTACTTCCATGGGATTTGAATTTTTCAGGGGCTGTGATCTACGCTTTTGTATAATTGTGTTTTTTCCTTAAAATCTTGTAACATTAGTCGAGGTTTATTTATACAAAAATGGTATTGATGTTTACTTTGTATGTAAATGTGATTTTGCAGCTTTTTTCTTTAAATTGTCTGGGTTAGTCTTTGTACATTTAATCCAATGTTTAAATTGTCTGGGTTAGTTAGTCTTAACATTTAATTCCACATGTTATGTTTCTTTGTAATTAATTGTGAAGTTTACTAGCAAGAAAATTGTCTCTGCTGCACTAATTTCACTGTAGTACATTGAACTCTTATTCAAAAAAGAGTGTGAAAAAACCTCTCTGTGTCCTATTTATAATACAAACTGCCCAAATAAAATCTTCAAAATTGTATTTATGTAAGGTTTATTAAAAAATGTTTTACTAGACAAAAATAGTCTGTATATAATCAAACTGTAAATGATAAATGATGTCTTTTAAAACAAGAATTTTTGCCATTTCAGGCCGTCAGTAGAATCAGCCAAGTGGGGACGAAGTCAGTGTTTGCACAGAGTGGAAACAGCAGAGAGGTCATTCCAAACCCTTTCAACCAAACTCAGACCACTGCCCCACAGACCAGGTACATGTCACCACACTTTTCTACAGGCAACTGATGATAATGGCTTCTGATGACATCTCTTTCTGCTTTGTAGTACTACACCGCAAGTGCTGAGCCCAACCATTGCTGCTCCCCCAAATGTGCAGCCACGGCGGAGCTCAAGACTCTTCACCAGTGCCAGCTCCACTGCCAAGGTACTGTCTTT